ACAGGCTCAGCCCGGGGAACGGGGACAGAGCCGCTTCAGAGCCCGGCACTCAGCAACGCTTTTCCCTTGCACGTGGCTTGGGCTGAATTTGCTCTGGAAGGGTGAAAGCCTTATGATAAGCTCTCCGGCCATTGGAATCCCTCCCTGGAGAGCCAAGGTGAATGTCACTGCAAAAACTCAGGGGGAAAAGCCTGGCAAACCCCTTTCTGTGCGTCCCCCTGTCCTCTCCTGCCTGGGTGCGTGGCCGTGCAGCCGGCGGCAATGGACTGTGCCCGTGGGATGCTTGTCTCCTCCTGAACACCGGCCGGTCAGACACCTCCGGCACCAAACTCCACCAGCTCCCCAAACAGGCAGATTTCAGCCCCCCAGGGCCGCTGACAAAAAGCACCAGTTATAAAAATCCCAGGTTAAGCAAACAGGAAGGCGCAGCCCCGCGCGTCTGGGCTGCCAGGCCAGGGCCCGTTAAAACAAGACCTGTTTAACCGTGGTGGGGCTGGCGGCAGACTTGTTGACTCCAGTCGCCTTTCCAAGCCGGCCGCTGCCGCCCAGGCAACCCACGAGCTTCGGCAGCGATGGGACGTGGGACGGGGTGGCCGCACAGGGCTGCGCTTGTCCTCGGGGCTGAGTCACAGAGCCCACACGGCAGCTCCAGCAAGGAGCTATTTCGGGTTTCTCAGTCACCCTGCGGCTTTCTGCAGGCGAGCCCCATACAGCGGCGTTTTATGCACTACACAGGTTGCTTTGATCTTTTTCCCCACCCCTGCAAAACGAAACGTGTGGAGCAGAATGTGCTAACAAGCCATCGATTATTATAAACCACCCCAGCCAGGCACTGGCTGTTGCAGCACTCCCCTCCCATCACCGTGATAGGGGCTCACGGAGAAAAACCCACGTGGTGCGAGAGTTTGGGGTGATTTTAAACACGGGCTGAGATGAGAGGGAGGCTCCAAAGCAAATAGGTGGGAGAGGGGAAATTCAGGGTGAGGTTCCAAGGTGTTCTCCTCAGCCTGGGGACCGCTGCCCAGGCCCGGCTTGCCATGCTGCCCTGGGGATGAACTGCGGGACAGCTGGACCATGCCCGGCGGGCAGGACCCGTGGCTCAGCCTGGTCATTAACCTGCAGTGAGGAGGCAGCGACCGGGCTCTTCCCAGGGTGACAGGGAGGGCACTGTGGGTGACAGATATGCTGGGAATAAAGCAGCTTTGATGGCTCAGGGCTGGCAGTGCACATGGGGAGGGGATGGGATGGGATGGGATGGGATGGGATGGGATGGCACGGCACAGCACAGCAGTGCCCTGTGCCGGGCCAGCATCACCTCCGCATGAGCCGGCCGTAGCGCAGGACCTGGCTGCTCTGCCCAGTGTCAGATCCCAGGGAAGTGGTGAGCCGTGGGGGGCACTGGCCAAGGCAGGAGACCACCCTGGAATCTCCCCTTGCAGCCATCACACAGTACAACGGGTGGGAAAAGCAACACCAACACCCAGCAAAAACTAATGACAGTAATTGTTCACCTTTTTCCCAAATTCCAGGGCTGATGATTTCCGAATGGGGCAGCCTGGCAAAGGAAATCAATCATCAGGCAGGCTGTGGCGAGAAGGATGAACAGAAGGAAACAGAAAGATGAGAAAAATCAGACCACAACAGCAGGTGGACAGGTTGGCTGGGAACCTTCTGTAAAATGGGTGCAAACAAGGGTATGGATGAAAAATAGAGAGAGAAGCAAGACAGGTAGTTTATATGGGAGCCGAGTGCTCTCGTGTTCCCCAGCCGGTCCCTCTTGACCTCACTCATCCCCCTCCATCAGTCCCGCACTGGATATGGCCAATTCCTGTCTTCGTAAAACTTCTTCAGGCCCTGAAGGTTGACAGGAGGGAAGTAAGGGCCGATCCTCTTCCGAATCCACCACCTCCCCTCGCTGGCGTGCTTTCCCCCGGGGCGGCTGAATTTGTACTTGAAGTGTTCCCCTCGGATCCACCTGCAGAGAAGCAAACACAGCCTGCTCAGGGGGGGGAAAGGTGTCAAACCCTATTTACAGTCCCCTGGGAGGGGAGTTTCTGCCCCCTTCCGTAGCTGGATGGAGATATCAGTTTGAGGGGGCTCAGCCTGGCTGGCTCCCACATACTGGTGCTCCATCCTTCCCTCTCTGGGATGGCCGCAGCCAGTGCTCCATCGATCCGTCCATCCGTCTGTCTGTCCAACTGTCCCTCCATCCCTAGGATGGCTGCAGCCGGAGGGAGCATGGCAGCTGTCCCTGCTGGAGCGAGGCACCAGGGAGCTCTCGGGCTCCTCCTGATGTGATTTCGGAAGGATGGACGAGGCAGAGGAGCTTTAACACCCCCACCCTCTGCGCTCTCCATTGCTGCCATGCACTACGCACACCTCTCTACAGCAAAGTTTGAAAGAATAATAAGAAAAGCAGGAAAATTATTATTTTTTTCTTTTCTGAGAGCAACTACAGAGTATTTCTGCCCAGGACATTTTTAGGTACAGAGCCCAACTCCCCCCAGCATCCCTCTGCCCCAGCCAGCGGCTGCTCCTTCTGCTCCGCAGCTTATTAGCCAGGCTACGAGCGCATCTGTTTTCTGGCCGCCCTGGGAGTTGACAGAAAAGGAGATTTTTAAAACAGTGCAGAAAGAAGCATTCATCAGTGTCGTGAAACACATTCAGAGGCTAACCATGCTGCTCGGTTCCGGAGGGTTGGTCCCGCTTGATGTAGGGCATGCTGACAAGAGAAGGAGTAACACCCCGGTCCTCCGGCGTTGTGGTCCCTGTTTGCAGAGTGCATCGCCGCGTTTGCCGGATAAGTTCATAAAATAACCCACAATATAAAAATGTCAAAGTCATGTCAATGCTCATTTAAACCTGCTTTGCTTCACTACTAAAATACAAATCCTGCTACTGAGCAGGGCACCTCGCTCCCGCAGCTGCTCGTTCCCGGGGCTGCGCCTCGGGCAGCCGTAAAGTTCCTTCCTACTGCTAAAATAATTAGGGATGATTCCATGTATTTGCCATTAGCGCTCACCTTCGTAACACCGGCACTCCGAAGGGGAGATTGCAGACGACGGATAAAAACTGCACCCAATTAAAAGGTCTGCTGCAATCGCATCTTGACATCTCAATTTATACCTTGCTGGGTACCCAAATCAACAATCCAGAAATGATTCTCCTAACATAACACATTAACGCGGACGTGAGGGGATCCAAGGAAGCTCAGACTAAAGGATTTGGAGCTGTACTGGGGCAGCTCTAATTTAAACTACTGGTAAGGGCTGGGTGCCAAGGGAAGGATGGGGACAGAGGTGTCTCCTGATGCCGTACAGCTCTATGGCTGAGCATCCCGGGCCATCCCAGCACCCCAACTTGCTTCCCACGGACAGGGGGCTGCAGGGAGGCAGGATACCAATCCTCCAACACGGGAAGGTGAACGCCACAGCCCTCGGGGTGCACAAACCTGCCTCTCATCACCGTGCATGCTGCCCTGCAGCTGCTGGCTTCATTACAGTCAGGGCCATTCCTACACCCTCTCTCCTCCCCTGGCCTTTTTGGAGACTGGGAAAAGTCCAACAGGGGCTGAAGTGTTACTCCCACAGTGTTTATTTCACAGGAGCACAAGATTTCCTGTTAATAATTAGAGCGTTATTGAACGGCAACATTCCCGTGGGGCCAGGTAGCCTGCAGGCTCCTGTCCGGGACGGTTAGAGATTTCCAAGCTGTGCTCCTGGATGGCTTTCTTGAATCCAAAAAAACCATATCCACCTCCCAGAAGAGCTTCAGTGGCTGATTTGATGTCAGCCCCTCTCCTGCTCGAAGCTTCCCTCTGCCTGCCACACTGGGGCTTTTGGGAGGCTTTTCTTCCCTAAGCGACTGCATCTACCAGGCTGGACCCGCCTCCGCGTACACCCACGCTATGGGTACAAGGGGGTGCCCCCCGCTGAAGGAGCTACCTGCAAACCTCACCTGGCAAAGTTCCCATTTTCTAGACAGGGATGCAGGGAGCTGACAGCGTAGCTCCCGGGGCAGACTGCGAGTCCTCAGGAGATGCCAACTCTCTGCTCAGACACAGAAGTGCCTTCTCCCCAACCTATAACCCCTCTGGAATGAAAATTCCCTTGTCCCTTTCGAATGGGCTTGTCTGCCCAGATTAAATAATATCCATCATCTGATTCGGTATGATTTTTCCCATATGTTCTCCGTCTATTAAAACGTTTGCTATCAAAGGGATCGGCATGTAAAACTAGAACCGTGCGAGCACTGAGGTGACCACAGGCAACTGAAGATGCATTTTTGTGGCATAAAGTTTGCCTTTCTATCTGACTGTGTTTCAGGCTTTTCTGTTCAGAGCCCACATCAATCTGAAGAGTCTCCCCAAGCCCCCTCCGACCACTAAATCCACTCTTGTCCCAGCCACGGTCACCGCTTCCCCCAACCCGCCCATCTGAGCTGGAGTGCTGGGATGCACGGTCCATGTCAGGATGCCCCACGGAGGAGAAACGTGCCCAGCTCTGTGGGCTGTGGAGTTTGTAAACTCCATGGAGCTGAGCTGTGCCAGGAGCTGAACCACTCACCCAGCGATGAGCTATAAAGCTCTGGCACACCGCAGCCCATGGTTCTTCCCTGTCCTGCACTGCCAGCTTCTCTGGGATGCAAGACAGAATCATGGAATCATAGAATCATTTGGATTGGAAGGGACCTTAAAGCCCACCTAGTTCCACCCCCCCTGCCATGGGCAGGGACACCTTCCACTAGACCAGGTTGCTCCAAGCCTCATCCAGCCTGGCCTTGGACACTCCCAGGGATGGGGCATCCACAGCTTCTCTGGGCAACCTGTCCCAGTGCTCCCCACCCTCTCCGGGAAGAATTCCTTCCCGATACCTAATCTAAACGTCCCCACTTTCAAACCTGAAGGTTTCCACTCTGGTCAACGGACCTACCGAAGAGCCTTTACATGGCTGCAGCAGCCAAGACGTGCTGCAGGATGGAGAAACTGCAGCGGGAATACCTCCAAGCATCAGAATACAACAGCAGCATCCAGACCTCGTGCTGTCCGTCCTCTCCATCCTTCCCAGGGTTGGGGGCTGTGGGAGAAATGCAGAAAACCTGGAACCCATGGGCATCTTTCCTTGCAAGGCTCATGGATCTAAAAGCTGCAGAGTTTAATACTCACTGGAGCCCCTCGTTTCAGGGCTCATAGAATTTACAAGCTCCCCCAGTATTTATAATCTACCTGGGTGCCTCAGCCCTGAAGTTACAGGATTTGCAAACTCCTCCAACGCTGCCTCCTGCTCCCTTCTCTCGGGATGCCGGGAGTGAATGTGCTCCTGCACTAACAGGGCCAAGTATTAACAGCTTGTAACCTGGGCGAGACGCGCGTGCAGGAAACCACCCCAGGCTACAGATCGCCTCATCAGCAATTGCTTCTGCTCTGTGCAACTCCGGGGCTCACACACAGACCTTCTGGCTGCTGGAAGGGATCCACAGGTCTCGGAGCCCCCTCTGATGCCGGAGACTGCTGGCATGCGTGAACCTTGCTTGCTGCTCTGGAGCAATGGGAACATCTTCCAGAAGGCCATGCAGAAGCTGTCTGACTTCACCTGCATCACAAGGAGTTTGGTGCCACAGTGGTCACTCATGCTGGGAGAAGGGTGAGCAAGACCCGTGCTTCCAAGGAGACAGACAGAAAGGTCAGTAAGGACAATCCTGGCTGCAAGCGGCTTCCCAGGATTTACTGAGCGGACACAAGCGGCAGGTCCTCCTGGCTCCCTGGGAAACAGCGGGCACCAGGTACCACAGCCGGGTGGGGAAATGGCTCGGGAGAAGCATCAGGCTGAACCAGCTGAGCCCAGGTTTGGTCACAAAATAATCATTTGAGAGGCAAGAAACAAGATAAGGTCAGACAAAGCAAGCTGAACATTCTTCCATCAGGAGATGGAAAACCCTCCCTGCTGTAACGGCAGCAGTGGTGAAGGACACGGGACAGAAGGGTCCCTTTGCCAGCTTCTCCCAGGCTCAACAGCCATGCCTGGGATGAGAAGCGAAGCAGCCGCGTCGCAGAGCGATGGCGCTGATCCCGGTGCGGATGGCTGGAAGGGGGAGGACCACTGCGCCGCCCAGAAGGACCCGCCGCCCTGCACGGGATGCCGGGACCCGCCTGCCTCTATCCTTCTGGGCAAGCACCCGCTCTCCAGCACCACCCGGATCGGGCAAAGCTACACCCTCAGGAGGGCAGAAAGGCTAAAAATCAGAAGCGTTATTTTTTAAATCGAGACATTCATCCCGCCGGATGCCCGGCAGCAGCTGCGCTGTAGCGCTTCTAAGATTCGATCATATATCAGCCGATGCTGACATCTTCCAACTGTACGTGTTAAAAATTAGCAGGAATATTGGAGTTGTTGGGATGGAGGGCTAAATCTCCCAGACAGCTGTAATTGGTTCCAGAGGGTGCAGCTGTCTCCCTGCAACAGCTGAGGGGTTCCAGGGAAAAAAGCAGAGCCGGTGGTTTCTGTTAGAATTAATGGCCTGACAGGGCAAGGCGGGGTGGGAGAGGGAAGAAAGAAACCAAAACACGGGGCGTCTTTTCGATTGGGTGGGGGGTTTTTTGGTGTTTGGGTTTGGTGTGGGTTGGTTTTTTTTTTTATCTCAAGGTTCCTCATTCCCTTGTAAATCAGGGAGCAAGTGGCAGTGGAAAGTACAAATTCATTACAGTAACAGAGCCTCCATCATCAGCTTTTTTGCTTTTTCTAGCCCCGTTAGCAGGAGGGATCGTAAATTCATCTTGACCCAAGTTTGCAGAATAAGGGCAGTTTTATGGGTCGTTTTTCAATGCCGCTGACTTCTCCTTCTCCAAGGCTCCTGCAAGGTCTGGCCCTGCAGAGCCAGAGCATCCCTCCGGACATGCCTGCCATGGGACACACAGCACAGTCCGGGCACAGCGAAGGTGCCCCACAGCTGCATCTGCCACCACCACGGGAGGTGGCT